GATGGCGTGCGTAGTCGATTTGGAACGGGCGTGGTGGTCCTGACGGGCCGGTTGGTTATGTGTATGATTTTGGCCGGAAGGCGCCGTTTTTCCAGGTAGAAAGTTGCGCGGGGACGACGTATAAGCGAGCGTGGCCGGGTTGCTGAGGCTGCTGAGGCTGTTGAGGTTGTTGAGTGCGCTCAGATTGCCGAGACTGTTCAAAATGCTGCTCGCCTCTTCGAGGCTCAGGTTGTTGAGCTTGTGGTTGAGCTGACCCAGGTCCAAGCCCAAGTCTTGGATGCTCTGGGACTCAAAAATGGCGTCCATGGGCCGCGGAGCACCGGAGGTCATTCGCTTCGACGGGAAGAGCGACTCGGTTGTTTCCAGGTCGAGCGCCAGGATCTCCGGGAAGTTGCACGCTGCGTCCATGACGAGCGTAGAGAAATAAGAGGACGGTGGGAGGGATAAGACGGAAGACAAGGAGTACCGTGAGCCAATGAATATGGCCGAGAAACGTGTTCACAAAGAGATAAACAAACCGTGACTCGTAGATGGCCTCAGGACGTGACGAGGTTTCGTTGTGTGCTATTCGTATATTTTGTGTTTGTCTGTGTACGTGTGCCTGTGTCTTGTGATAAGAGTCGTGGAGCATAAAGCGCAACGTTGTCTGGCTTGCAACTCCGTGTGTACTTCCAATGGGCTGTTGTGTCGGTTCAGGTCAAACACCGGAAGGAAGAAACAGTCGACAGATGGATAGGCAAGACGTTGCTGTCTCTCTGTCTGTCTCTATCTTTGTCTCTGTTTGTGACAGTTACACGCAGGCAGTGCAAAATTCCTTCCGAGAGCAAGCGAGACGAGCCCGGAGACGGAAATGAGCGACGACGAAACAAGTGATGTACGAGGTTCGACTGTTGCGCGAGATAAGCTCGTGGAACGGAGCGCAGGATGCTCGCGTAGAGGAGGACAAGAGAATCATGTAAAAGGCGGTGCAAAACACACGAGAACAATGAAAGTGTAGGACAAGACGAGAAAAGAAAAACAACAAAGAAAGTGAAATAAACTTCCGGGCCCGCCACGAGAGATCTCAGTCCGTCAATATTATATGGACCAGGACAAGAGTCAGGCGTGTTGTCTGGTTGTTAGCTGCAGGTATCGGGACGCATAAGGTGATGAAGCAAGAAATAAAAAATAAAGGGAGGTGCAACAAAATAGGAATAGAGATTGAGGAGCGAAAATAAGAGAGACAACAGAAAAGGGGAAAGGGAGGGCAAGGACGGAGAATAAGAGACACGAGAAACCGAACCGAGCGAGAGGATAGGACGAGTTAGAAGAGTAAAAAGAAATGAGAGAAACATGCAGAGGTACGCAAGAGACACGCGAAGAGGAGGGCGTGCAAAGTGCATGCAGGTGGGTGAAAACAAAAAAAATAACAAATAAAATAAAAAGGAACAAAAGCCACGCGAACGCCAGAGGAGACGTAAGTACGGTGTCAATTACGGTTAGCCGATAACTTAGAGTGATGTAAAACATGGATTAAGGAGACGATCGAGATACAAGAAACAGGACGAGCACAAGAAATAAACGAGACACAAAGGTATTATTCTCAAGAAGCGAAGCGAGGGCTAGAAGCCGTTGCAAGCTAAGGGACTAGGATCAAAAGCTAGTAGTGAGGGACCGGAGGGGGGGGGTAGACGAACTGACAGTCACACAACAGACGACGACAAGGGTGTACACGTAAACGACAAAACGGATGACATGCATGTACTCCGCCAAAATTCAAATATACGAAGTGAAAAAGAAAAGGCAAAGGCACAAATCGGAACTGGGAAAAATACTACAAATAGAAAATCATGCGGCACACGAGGACAACCAGGTCAGGGTTCACGTACAAGGGAAACCCGAAAAGAACGGCGGCAGGAGAGAGGCCCAGGGAAAGTAGAAACCGAGATACAATAAATAGACACGTACGAAGAGACCGGGCATTAGGGACCGCAAACCAACATAGACGACAGCGGCAGACGATCCGTACGTTGGTGACCGTGGCGAGTGGAGGCTAGGTGGAGGCTAGATTTGAGGCATGATGGACGGTGGATGACGGATGTTCTAAACCGGAGCCCTGTAAGTCGGCCAATTGCTACAATGGATCGCCTCGCCCAGAAGTGTAGATGCAGGCTGACAAAGTGCAGTAGCGTCCTGCGTGGCGTGCAGCAAGGGACGAACAGGAACAGGAACAGGAACAGGACGGCAGGATGGTGGGATGGTGGGATGGTGGGATGGATGCAAACTGGCACCGGCTTCGGGAATCGGGACAAAGATGGAGTTCAAAGGCAAGGGAGAGAGATACGATGCATGGACGTGGGCATCAGACTCGTGTCTACCCATGAGGCGAAAAGAAAACGCACACGCATACAAAAGGGACAAAACAGACAAGAGAATGAGGAATATGCTGTGGCACTGTAGCACGACTAGATAGCCATGTTCGTGATACACGTGTTTACTCCGTATGAGCAGGGTAACAGGATCGACATTGGCGACGGCTGTAGTGCGGCTGCAAAAAGAAGTAAAAAAGATAACGAAAAGGAAAACACAAAAAAGAAAAGAAAATCCAAACTATTGAATTGATTGCATATCCTAGTGTCCAACTCATCTCTCGTGGCAATAGACGATGGAAGACGGCCATGATTTGTAAAAGCAAGAAAAGCAGAGAGCAAGAGACAAAGAAACCACAAAATAAGAGAAGGACTACCCCGTGTAAGACATTTGGCAGTTGGTGCAACACGCCACAGGGGCAAGATGCGTGCATATCGGGTGTTCAGTATCCTGCACGAGAGATGCGTAAGAATGGAAAAGAGAACTCGCTTAAAGCAGCGAGGAAAGCTTGGGCAAAGTGAAGTCAATACGTGCAGGGAAAAGGGGCCAGGCACGATATCGTTTCCTTTTTTTGTTGCGTGCGTCTGAATTTTGCGAGTTCTTCGACTAGCAAATTTGAAAACGAAGCTCCTAAAGCCCACCAATGCATTCGAGTGCTGCGTGCATCGTGGTGTGCATCGCTACCTTGGTGTGTCTCAATTAGTGGACCTCGCGAGAGAGGAGAACAAGACAACAATGAGACATTTCTCCCTGCTTCGAGGCAATCGTCAAATTAGTGCCAGCCGCCAGGAGCGAGAGGGAGCTACGGCCAGCTTAACTAGAGCAACGCAAGCAAGACCAAACTCAATATAGCTAGCCTGCGTTCACGAGCTGTGGTATTTGGTACTATTCGCGCGGGAGATCCACATGCGCCTTCCCGGCCTTGTAGCACACGTCCTGTGAAGGGCGACGCGAGGGGTGACAATGACCGGAGAGATGCAGCATGAGATGCTTGAGAGCCAGGCGTCGAGCCAGGCGTCAAACCCACGTCGTGGCAACTGAGCAGATGTCGGGATGGGGAGCTCGCGGGGACGATCTTGGGCTAATTCGGAGGCTGAGCCCGATATACCTCCCCGTCGTCCTATTTCCGTACTGGTTGTATCATAGTTGAAAAATGTGATTGGCGATACTCTCTTGCCAGCTCACGAGAAATACCGACCCATCTCCCCTAGATCAGCGTTGGCATCTTGAAGTTTTGCAGTTTTGCAGTTTTGCAGTTTGGCAGTTTGGCAGTTTCGATGTCCTTAGGTTGGCATGACTGAGCTGAACTGCTTATAAGATGCGAGGGACGACTGTAACTGGATGGTTACCTGTTAAGGATGTACCCATTTTGCCCGGCTGCATGGCACGCACTTGATAATGGGGAACAGGCCTTGAAAAATACGACCCTGCTATGTCATTTGCTTTGCTCCAAGGCAAGGAAAGTCCCGCTCTCGGTTAACCGGGGTTCGTTCTCTCGATTCCCACTACGTGAGGGGACGTTTGGTGCTTGACTCGGGGCCGTTTCGGTTCGTACACGGCTACGTCGTTGTTGGGGTCGCGCGAAAAGTGTACATGTAGTTCGCTCTCATAAGCATGAGATAAAAAGGCAACGGCAAGAAAAGCAACAAGAGAAAAAAGTACAGGATCCGTACATGCTAGGTGGAGTGGGGAGACCCTGGATGCGAGGGAGTGGAGAATATACACACAGATCTGCAAATTCGTGCAGCTGAACTGTGGGTGTGATTGAAAACCAGTCTGAACTGTCGTGCCAGTACGTCAACAAGACGTAAAATTTCTTTTTTTTTTCTTTTTTTTTTTTAAAAAAAATTGGCTTGCAGGATCATCCGGTAGCCAGGGAGCGGATCGGCATATGGCGTCGTGCCATGATCGGAACACGGAGGGGCATGAAGCACGCCACGAAAGATGCCCCTTTGCTTGCCAGATGCCGGTCAGAGGCGTCGCATCGGAGGAAGGACGAGCCAAAGTGGTGGTCAAAAGTAGCGAAAAGGGGGCGAGAAGTGGGGGGAAAGAGCAGGGAAATAGACCACAACTGCTGTGTTCTAGTTATGTCTGAGGATGAGCGGCGTTAGTGTGAGAAGGAGAGAGAGAAAAGAAGGGCAAGTAATGCATTGTAAGAGCTCGAACGGCAGCAGACATGGGGGCGAGAGAGTCCAGCTTCGTGGTATGTCGTAAACACTGGTGAAAATATACGATAGGTTGACGCTTTGAATTGTTGGATGATAACAGTAAGCAATGGAAGGCAGCTGAGAAACCCGTTGCTAACATCGGCGGAAGAATGAAATGTAAAAAACAACAAAATGGAAGAAAAGAACAACAGAACGAGAGGAAGCAAGACGCAGGTCGCATGGACAGAATCGACAAATCAACAAGCCCGACACAGGGCACCCCCAATATGGGACCACAAGGCGAGCTTTATCGTTCCAAGTAGACTGCAGAAACGCGCGAGGGAGACAGCGACGCGTGCTATTGTCTGGTGCCCGGACATGGATACCAGATAGCATACACTTATCGGGATACAAAGCGGAAAAGGAGGTAAAAACAGAAACAAGAAACAAGAACACAAGAGTTGGCAAGACACCATAAAAACAAAAGACGGCACAACAACAGAAATGCCAGGGTCTGTCAGAAACAAGAGACATGCAAGGGAGTCCAGGCAAGGGGAGAGGGAAAGACTAGGAGGCAGGCGGACGCGGAAACGAGCTGCAAGGAGATGTGGATGAAGCAGAGAGTGACAAGGGGCAGAAAGAGGAGGCGAAAAGAGGCATCGACAAGACCACTGGAGCTAGTCAAAATAGTGGCGGAAAGAGCCAGAGAGCACAGAACTTGAAAGTCTCTCCTTCCGGATTGGCCAGTCCTTACAACCCCGCCTGGACAAAGAGGCTGGACCGCTGCTCTCAGTAAAGAAAGACCCACACAGCCGAGCACCTGCCTTTTTTCAGCGGGCGGTGTGGCCTTGCGTCAGAGGCCTGGCCGTCCCTTCTCATTCCACCGTCACCACCACACAACAGCTATCCATCGCTCTGTCACGACCACAAACTGCCCCATCACGTCCGACCTGCCTTCGCTCACCTCCACATCACCCTACGGCCACAGACGCCCAAGCCACACCAAAAGCCTCCCGTTCTTGACCCGATTGCAGATCTTAGCATCGCTTCGTGGCTGGCTCGTGACCCGCATGCGCCACAGCGGCTCCCAACAAGCCTCTGTTGGTCCTCCTCGGCCATCTCTCGAACCGCTGCACTGATCGTCAACATCGAGGTCAACGTCACCCGAGTGAGCATCCATCCACACGCATACGGCTTCGTCGGCGACACTGCCTACATACCCGGTTACTTCTCTACGACCTCTCCCTCCCTCGTCTCCACCATGGCGGACAACATGCCCACGCTGCGGAACGACCTGTCCATGGTCGCCCGCAAGGCCCGGCTGACCTCGGCCGTCGAGGATGTTGATAACATCATTGCCCAGCTTCTCGAGGCCCGGGAGAAGATTGCCGCAGGTTAGTTCTCTCTCTACGAGGCACTCGCTTCTCGGTCCTAAGCCCCATGTCTTCTGCCCAGAGCCCTCTAACGACACAGCAGAACAAGACCCGCATGCGGCCAGCCTTATCTTGACGAAACTGCAGAACCCGATAAAAGAAGGATTCGAGACTGTCAACAACGACCTCAAGGCCGTCTCGAAAACACAAAAAGAGTTCGGAAAGGCTCTGGATCGGGTGAGTACATCCTTCCCCCTCCCTATCTCCCCTTGTGCGTGCTTCACTGGCTGCAAGAACATGCACCACCCAAGCTAACACTCTCAGTCGTTCCCAATCACCCCGCTCCCGACAGAATACGATGTCATGCAGAAACATCCAGCCCTTATCAACCGTGCCATCGCCATGCACCTCCTCCGCGAAGGCCATTTTGATGTATCCCGTGTCTTCATGGACGAGGCACGCGACATTGCCGCTATCGACGGAAGCACTGCTGGCGGCGCAGACGACGACCAGGCCGACGACGACGATGCTGGCGATGACGCATCCATGACCAACGGCGACGTCGAGTTTGACGGGCACGGCAATTTTACGCAGACGGAGTCCATCTACCTGCAGGACAAGTTCCAGCGCATGTACTCTATTTTGCAGGACATCAAGGCACACAACCTGGCGTCGGCGATCGACTGGGCTCGCGAGAACTCGGAGGAGCTCGAAGAGCGCGGCTCCAACCTCGAGTTTGAGCTATGCAAGCTGCAATTCATCTGGCTCGCCAAGTCGGGGATGCACGAGCCGCGGGGCGAGTATGATGACAGCGAGGACGACGAGGAAGACGGGGAGGGCTTTGGCCATGCCGACTTTGCCGACGCGTTCGAATACGCGCGCACCAACTTCCACCGCTTTAGCAAGCGCCACCTCGGCCAGATCCAGCGCCTGTCCGCTGCGCTCGTTTTCTCCTCCAACATTGACGAGTCGCCTTACGCTGTGGCCTTTGCGACCAGCACCGCCTTTGCCGACCTGGCCACGTCATTCACCCGCGAGTTCTGTTCCCTGCTCGGCCTGTCCGCCGAGTCACCACTCTACGTTGCCGCCACGGCCGGTACCATTGCTCTGCCGCGGCTTATCAAGTTTATCGGGGCCACCCGCAGCAAGCGCACCGAATGGACCACAGCGAACGAGATGGCCTTTGAGACGCCGCTGCCCGAGTCCATGACCTACCACCCCATCTTTGTCTGCCCCGTCTCCAAAGAGCAGACCACGGCCGCCAACCCGCCCATGATCTTGCCTTGTGGCCACACGTTGGCACACGACTCGCTGCGGAACATTACCAAGGGCTCAAAGTTCAAGTGCCCGTATTGCCCGATTGAAGGCCAGATTAAGGATGCCCGCCAAATCATTCTATAGGACCACCACGCACCTTGACCCGCAACGTCGCGTTTTCCTTTTCCTTTGCTGCTTTTTGACCACGCTGCTACTTTTTGCTTTTCGCCTTTCACTTTCTTTAGTTTTTCATGGCTGGCGTACTTGTGGGACGATTTATTGGATATGGCGTTTTCTATTTGGTGTGTGCTTGTTTTCATAGGCTCTTTTTGCTGTTTTTGATATACTGGCTGGTCGTTTCAGTGTTTCTGTTGCAGCATCATCGCAGCTACGATTCGTTTGGGAAATGGCGTCGGGAATTTTTCAAGGTTGGCTAGGAATCGGCGTTGAACGGCAGCGCCCAGTGGTTTTTTATATGTTATTTTATTTCTCTCAGCTCCGATACTTCAGTTGGCATTACCGGCCAGAATAAACATTTGAACATTACATTCATACTCAACAGAAGAGCAGTGTCAAGTTAATAAGCAAGACTCGACTGCGGCGGGTGGCCGCTTTATGTGTATTTAAGGAACAACTTAACAAAATATGTCACCTTGATGAAGCTACGGTATCAGAGACGATAAAGGAGAAAATCGAGGACAAGATGAAAACAAAATACATTGCCGAACGTCTCTCGGCCATGCCCATCAGCCCCTAGCCCCTAACCTTTCCCTGCCTTTCAAATAAATAAATAAAAACGCCAGAGTGTATATAGTAAGTTTGCAACGGAAATACGGTTGATTTTGGAAACAAAACAGAAAAAAGAATGGGCTGCTATCCCTCTAGTGAGGAATGCCCCGGTGATATAGACAAGGAAAGACGACATCATAAAGTCATGAAACGTAGGGTGGATGGTGAGGAGGTACGGAATACAGAATCTCGGCTTTGGGTTCGGACAACAGCCATCTCCTTGTGGTGCAATGATGTGTTCTGCTCTTCTTTTGGGTTTTGTCAGGTTATATCGACGAGAAGACCGGTGGAGACGATAGGTGGCACGCTCGGTAGTTTTCAGCCCCATGTTTAAATTCGAAGAAATTAAACCCGAAAGGTGCGGCCGCGCGGTGGTGGGGACGCGTCATGAAGGAATGTAGATTTTTAGAGAAAACAAATGGAAGAGAAATAACGCGAAATGACGTGGACAAAATTGCGAGGAAAGCAGAAAAAAGACGGGCCGGCCGATATGGTCTTTTTCTGTCTTTTCCAATGTCTAATCTCCGCCCCCTTAGTCAATGGTCATTCGGCTGGGAAGAGGGGCCTTCATGTCGTTGAGGCCAATGGAGTTCACGTCGTACTGCGCCGTCTTCTCCTCGCCATCGGAGCGCTTGAGAATGTGTGCCTTGAGGCCGCTGCCAAAGTTGCGCATGCACACAAACGCGTTGGTAATGGTGAGGACGATGAGCAGAATCGTCAACACTGCAAAGGCCGTCAGTGACTTTTGCACGGCGGTGTAGTTGTGCTTGTAGCCCGCCTCGTAGATGCGCACGAGCTTGAAAAAGAACCACGCCAGGCCGCACATGTACAAGACAATGCTGATGGCCATGCCGATCTTGATTTCGTGACGCGTGAAGAAGGCCGCCATCAGCAGGATGGCGATGGTGATGGGAATGGCGGCGGCCGTGAGGGCGAATTCGACGTCGGTCTTGCCTGTGACAATAACGAGGAACTGGACGGTGAATCCGAGGAAGAAGAAGAAATCAAACTTGAGCAGCGCAATGTAAATCTGGTAGGCGAGGAAGCGTTTCTTCATGCGGTAGTCGGCGCCGATCTGCTTGAGAATGTCCCAGGCAAACTCCTGGTACAGCTTCCATGCAATGAAGCCCATCACGATCGTGGCAACGCCAATAATGATGGGAATGGCAATGAGGAACGGCCGGACACGGGCCATCAGCGCGACACTGCCAATGTCAGGGTTGATGGCGCCGATGGCGGCCAGTGAGTTGATGGCGAGATTGATCTGGTCGGTCTGGATGGCCGTGTAGATGAGGAAGGCCAGGTTCGCAATGCAGATGCCAATGACCTGAATCGTGTTTTTCATACGGAGAGCATCCCACACAAGTACCAGCTCGTACAAGAAGGCGAAAATGAAGAGGGTCAAGAATGTTGGGATGGAGCGGTAGAAGGAGTTGTTTTGGCTGTTGTCCTTGGTCTGGATGACGTTGGACTCGAACTCAGCAAAGAGGTATCTGCATGGCAGTTAGCACCGTCATCTCGCGGTCGGATGAGGAGGGTCTGACACTGGAACGAGACCCAGGCGACTTGTGTCTTTGTACGCACGCTTCAAAAGCCAGGCAGATGATGGCCTGCAATAGGACGGTCAGGGCAAAGGCCTTGGCCCATTTTGTTTCGACAAAGCTGAACATCTTGCGCGGCGGTTCGGCAACGGCGTTCTCGCGATAGTAGTAGCCGTTGTTGTTGAACGGCTGTTGGGCAAAGGCAGGATCCGGTGTCAGAAGCGACCGCCGGGACTCTTGACGGGGCGCCAGGGCGGGCGAGCTTGTGGGTGTTGCTGCCGGGAATATAAGAGTTGAAGGCGTCCTGGCGCAGGCGTGGCAGAGAGGCGGGAAGAATCAAGAATCAAATTTTCTGTCGTCGCCGTCGTGTGAACGTCGGTAAAAGAGCGGCGGCAGAATACGAGAAGAAAACCACTCGTGAACGTGACGAAATGGAGTCGGATGGTGCCGAGTGGAGATGGAGAGAGGGTGCTGGACGCGAGGGATGGCGACGTGGCTGCCCTTTCGTATTCGAAATGCGGGTTGGCGGAGTTGTTGCTTCGCGTGTTGCAATGGCGGTCGTGGCAGAGAGACAGAGAAAGGGGGAACGGAGAGGAGAGAGAGATCGTGTCGATGCGATGTGAAGGGTGACGAAATATGGAAAGGAGGGACAGTAAGCAGGGAAAAGCAGGAATAAGGGAAGGAGCGGAAATAGATGCAAAATGGAGGATGATGGAATGTAGAAAATGAAAATAAACGAGTTCTGGGAAACTCCGGACGCTGGAGGCAAGAGCGACCAAGATGGAGGGTGACCCTCTGGTCGAAAAGCGGGCCTGCAGCCGCACTTATTCTCCCGGCGTTTTAGGAGGAACGCCGCTATACGAGGGCATGCAGCATGCAAGGAGGGTGGACGAGACAAAGAGGCAAAATACAATATACTTTCGACGGATTCATACAGTAAGATACACAAAACACAGAGAATCGTCAGCGTACGAGGGTCACGCTGGAGAGACCGAACCCTGAAAACGTGGTTTGGGGTTGCAACCAGGGAAAGAGCAAAGGGATCACAAAACAGAGCATGTCGTAAAGAGCGATGGGTTCCAGGGAGATGGGGGCCAGGGGTCCTCCTGCCTGTCTGGGATGCGCAAGGCTTAGTCGACAGTGATGGACGTCTGGTCTGTTTCCTGCAACTGTCTTCACACTGGAGGACTTGGAGCGGCAGAACCACGTGTAAGTTCTTTTCTTCTTAGGGGTGAATGCTGCACTGGAACCGTGCTGGCACGCTGTGGCTGTCTTCCCGTCTGCTTGTGATCCCGGGGCAGATGAAACAAGATCGGAGAAAGATGTGTTCGAAGGCGGAAACAGGGGCTCAGGAGGCGGCACTGGCTGCCACGGTAAGAGGTCTGGGAGGTGTTAAACAGCGCAGGGAGGGCAGAGGGCGGCATCGATGAAATGTTGAAAAAAAAAAGGAAGTGGACAAAGATTTACGAGAGAAAAGTGACAACCGATTACAGTTGAAAATGTAAGTAATCACATGGCACCACCACGGCAGGAACGCCTTGGAGTAACCAAGACGTCGAAAGAGGCCAGAACCACCACCGACGTCGACTCCGCCAACATCACTGCGCCTTCCTCAGAAATGGACTCGAGTAAAAAGAAACAGCAAGTCCAAACAACAGGGACGACATCGACTGTTTTGTGCCACGCAATGGAGCGCATCTGCACTAAAAGTCGCAACGGCCGGCCGCTAGGCAGGGGGAAACACGCCAGAGCCCACTAAAAGTATGGCGGAGCAGCGGCGGGCCAGGAACGCCTGCAAGAACGAGACGAAAAGGGAGGGACTTTTGCGAACCAAAAAGGTGCAAGGTCAGGGCGCCATCACGTCGTCCATGGCTTCCTTTGTCCTGCGTACCACCGAAAATCCCGACGGCGATCCGCATCCGAATTTAGGGGACGATTTGTATTGGTGCATTCCAGCAGGTTAGCGAGTAGATTTAGTGGGCTGACCTGCTATAAAAAGACACTGCACCTGCCGCTAGCACAAACAGTGGGGTTTTTCGCTCTCAACATGTGTTCCAGTTGTTCCTTCCAAATTCGTCTGCTATGTGCGAGCAGCTGTTACGACCGCGGTTGCCCAAACCGTGCACGACGAACGTAGCACAGTGAAATGCGGCGCCGAGCGGACAGTCCTTATATATCTTACAACATATTGCTCATGTACAACGCACAGGGAGATCTTCAGCGCTTGGCCCAGCTTGGCTCAGCTTGGCCACCAGTGTAACTGTCACAGCCTCTTGTTAAACAATGCCAAAGCAGTGGCTGAGTGGCTGAGTAGGCTGTTTTATGCGAGGGATGAGTATGTTGTACAGGTGAACTACAGTGCATTATACAACGCACTGTAACTGGCACTGTATTTATCGCTTATCGCCGCAGATCCCCTGAAGAAAAAAATGGGGCGGCTGGCGCGTGCGCAATGGCAGGGCCGCGAAAAACTAGTGCGCAAATGCAGAAGCGCCGGCAGAGCATCGCATCGCATCGCGTCACGGCGCCTGATTCCCACGTTTCCCACCAAAAACGCCGAGACGCATTGGAGGCCCGCCTTTTTGGAACTCCATCGGGTCGCTCTGCTTCTTGCACGCCACACGGTCGACAACGGACGTGGTGCATTGCATCTTCAGCAGACCGTTTGTCTACCTTCTTTTGGACGACATCACAAGTCGCGTGCGTCGCCTCATCTGGCCGCGACAATGGAGATTGATTCGGACGAAGAGCTTCTGCACCGGCTCGCGGCGGGCGGGACAATGAATTAGTGCGTGGGCGAGGCCAACCCGAGTG